CTTCCAACTCAGTCAACTGTACTTTGTGTTCAGCTGCAGTAGGTGTTTCTGGATATGATAAGTATTTCATATAGAAGATGATTGCCACAAAACCACTTAAGCAGGCAGATTACAATGGAATCAAGCCAATACATCCTAAAACTGATACAAGAATTACTGCTTCTTAAACATCATACAATTAAACTGCAGAACTCACTAAAATATGTTACTAGAGGGCCTAAAAGCTATCAAAATCAGACATTAACATAGAAAATACGAATTCTAATAACAATAAAATTACAAGTTGTGGACATGCTTTAAGGTAACTCAAACATGAGCTGGCAGTGGTTAGGAGAAAGAAAAGCTCTTCTCCTGGCAAATAATGACAATTACAAATTTGAAATCTTTCCTACTTTGTTGTAAAGCTGGTGCTAACCAATACCAGAAACAGAACATTGCAGCACAGCACACTCATTCTGCTGAGCTAAGGACCATGAACAAATCTGTCATTTTAGAAGACTAGAGAACGTGAAAAATTTGCAGCTTATATATTTCACTGAACTGAACCTGATGAGAAGACAGTCACTGCTGGGTTTATTTTTTTGGTTAGTTTGTTGTCCTAAATCATTCTGGGAATACATATGCAATCTCCCTCTTTGCAAGTTATGATGATTATGCATTAGTACAATTATACTGGCTAAAAATATTCCCTGCTCTAAATAGGTCTGTGAAAGCAAAGCAAGCTGTGCTGCTATGGGCACTGCCTCGCTTCCCTCATGGCCTGCACAAACATTCCCTGGTGAAATCTCACTATCTCTGACACTTGACTATTCCAGGCAGTTTTCACTGGCTAACTCTCAAGTCACACCCCAAGTATCTTTCCAGATTTTGGAGGAAGAAGCACCGTAAGAGTCGTGTTCAATTGTAAGTGCCAGACGTATTGTTACACTTGAGAAATCCAGCAAGACTTCTGAGTCTTAAATTGGGAATCAGGAGGTGGATTTTTAAATATATATTTTAGTATGTCTGCTTCTGAGCAGCAGGAATCCAGCTGGTGAGTTAAGGTATTGGATGCAGCATTTCAGACAACGGAATGAAAGCAAAATAATTTATTAGATGGAAGACTCAGTGAAATCTACTGCAAAGGATTTTCCAAAGGAAGGGAAAAGGGAAGGGACCTCCCAGCTAGTTTAAAGTGCACCACTGTCTAGAAGGGTTGGAATGTTCTTGCCTCAGTGAATATTGTTAAATCAGTGTCACTCAAAGTCACCTTTACAGATATACAGAAGTTTAATACCAATACTCTGCAAATTAAAATCCTGTACAGAAAAACCTTCAAAGGTTTTTGCAAAAAAGCCTTCTGCACTGCTCCGACACCATCCATGCTATATTGTACAATTTAGGCACATATCCAATGTATTACTAGTGCATTTCTCCAAGAGACAATGCAAACAATTCCTATAAAAGTGAATCTACACAGTATGAATGGGTTTGTTGTTAAGAACTTTCTGCTTCAGTAGAAGTGCCAATAAAAATGTTTAAATGAAAAATATAGGTGTATTTTTCAGTTAGGGGTTTGGGTTTTGCTTTTTTTTCCTTCTTTCCCCAGGCCCTTTTTTTTTTTTTTTCAATACAGCTCTCCTTGAGACAAGCTTCTATCACAGGAAAAAAGAAATGAGTACATTTCACATTTGGTTAAATGTGTGTGCCAGCTACTTCATTCAGCAGGTGGGTCACGATGGCTTTGGAGAAAAATAAGGCTTCCCTGAAAAAGAACAGGCTGAAAAAATGCTGGGAAAATTAGAAGGTGCAGGAGGCGATTATTATGTCGGAGAAATTAACATGGAATAAACTAGGGTGCAAACTGCCAGTGCATTACTTACTCTGTAGTAATTCTCTCCACAGGAGCTTTGGCTCACATTATCTGCATGTCCACACTGCACTAATGGAGCACTGTGAATGAAGCCAGCCAGGCAGCCCCACGGCCAGCACGGGTGAGATGCAGGATGCTCTGCAGTGGGGCAGTGCCACACTGCCCCAAGCCACCCTGTCACCAGCACTGTCTGGAAGCCCCACCCAGCAGGGCCCAGCCTTGGAATCACTGCAAGGCAACCTGTGACACTGGGTGAGTCCTGGTGATTCCAGCTCAGCAACAGTAAGGGAAAGCTCCCAGTCCTGAAAGCTCCTTTCCCACATTTTGTGGGCTCTTTTCATAGGAGCATGCCTGGATTCTGAGCTCTCCCATATGTGCAGCAAGGGGCATCTCTCTTCCTCTCAGCCAGATGCTGCATCTGTGCAGCAACTCCTGCTCCTGTGCCACACAGCCTGCAACGCAGAGGGTTCCTCAGGACACCTGACAGACATCCCTTCTCAAAACAAGCAGTGGCAGTGCACTCAGGCTGGAATTATGCATCAATTCTGCAAGTTCAGACTCGCAGGAACAAATCCAGAACTACCACTATGCCAATTGGAAACCACCTGATTTGAATTAAAGCATCACTGGAGTCCAGTGCAAGTGGAGGAGAGAAAGGGGGAAAATACAATGGGGAGGTGGAATCTGGGCAAATCACAAAGGGTGGATAGATAGATGCAAGGTGGTGCTGCAACTGCTAGCCATAAAATTCCTTTTTGGTTTTTTGGTTGTTTTGTCTGTTTGTTTTTTTGTTGTTTTTTTTTTTTTTTTGTTGGTAAAGTCATGGAGACAGCCTGAAAAAAAGATTCTTTAGGTAAATTTTTTACCGAACAATTGGGCTGTTACATTCTCAGACATGAATAATGGTGTCACCCATGCCAAGAAGTGAAGGAATTTAAGGAGAGGGTGAGATGTATAATACAGAAGGCATTTCACAATTTTTTTTTTGTCCTCTGCATTATGGTTCACTGCCTTCATCAATTGTACTTGTGCAGCAGGTCTGTGAGGCTGACAAAGTGTGGCACATGTGAAGGGATGCTATGAGCAGCCAAGCACAGAAACTTCTTTGGCTCCCACCTGCTAAAGTCAGTGTGAGCTATGGAACACCATATATCCTGCTGAATCTTTCAGCATTCAATCCTAAAAAAATAACCACAGCTTTAAGAAAACATTGCTATTCTCTTACTGACCAAATGCTGGGGGACTTTCTGTTGTTATGGTAATAAGTATTTTATAGTATGCTTTAAAATAACAATGAAAGGTGACACTTTGTCACTATGTACCTACTATGTTTTGCAGGTTTCCCAATCTGTCCTCTGCCCTTCCCCCCCAAATATACATAAATTCTTAGTTCTTATTTACAGTTTAACAGTATTGGAATGCTTATGCTCGAAACACTGAATAAGAATATTCTGCCATCCAAGCCAAAACAAAATCCCTGCTTTCTCTTCTAAGATTTGCAAGTAATTTTTAATTGCTTTTTACTCTGAAAATGTTCAATAACCTTCATTTGTTCTAACATTGGTTTAAATCTTGTTGACTTTGCTGTTTCCTCTGTGCCCATTGTTGCCTCCTTTCAAGCTGGATTCCATGGATTTCAATGGTGTTCTGCACAGTTCTGTTCTTGCAGATTTTCTCATGAAGTCCAAGCTCTTGCAGTAGTGTGCTTATAGTTGCATGTGGGAAAGTGTCATTATATAAAAATTCTGGTATAAGTACCTGTCACAGCTATGTCACCTTTATTCAACACGAATGAGCTCACAACTTACTTTCAGGTAGTTTGTTTGAGATTTTTTTGTAACACAATCCAGTGAGTAAATTGTGCTTAATCTTAATGCTTACAGGTATGACATGGGGCAACCCACTTTGAAGCTTCATCCCAGATAAGATGCAATGTAAGAACTCCCACAGGACAGCCCCCTTTAGGCCTTACATATGTTGAAAGCATTTGGAATGAGGGTGGCTTTGGAAAGAAGCTGGAAGTTCTGCAGGATCATGTGTTTGGACTTGCCATCTGCACGGTCCAGGAGTTACCACATGGATCACTTTCTCCCAGTCATCTGAACCGTGAGTCACACAAACCGAAAGTGGAAGGCGGGTGTGTGAACAAAGCAGATGTGGGCGTTTGTGGGGCTTCTCCTCACCTCTCCAGAGCCCTTGTTTTCTGCCCTGTCCCATCCAGGGCTGCTACACTTAGACCTTTGGGAAGCCAGGGTGGCAGCCACCTTAGCCACCACCTGGGGTGGAGGCCGGGCTGGTAAAGTATGAAACCCCTCATGGGTGAGTCTCTGGAAGGCTCCATGACTCAAACTTCCACCTACAGCTGGAAGCCTGGCCATCTTTGTTTTGTTTAACTGAGCAGGAACACTCCACTAGCTGAGTGCTTACCACGACAAACACAAATGTCTGTCCCGAGCCCTGGATGTCTGAGGGGCGCCTGCAGCCCCGGACAGGCCGGTTCACGGCCAAAAGAACATGCAGGGAAATAGTTTCCAAACCCCAAAAGCAAACCTGAAACTGGATCCGTACAGACAGGCTCTTGGTGCTCAGATAGCAAACCTTCTCCTCCGCGTCTGATTGCAAGTCCACGGCTACCGTGGGCTATCGGCTCATTTTTTTACCTCGGCCAGATCCGAAATGTGGGCTGAGGGAGGGGTCTTAAATAAATTTATTAAATAAAATTTTTAAAACTCCAAACAAACAAAAATCTTACGAACGTATATCCTAGCATATATAGATGAAAGTACCCTTCTGTGAACGTGCCTGCAGCTCGCACGGCAGGCCCCTAGCACTGGAGGTCTGTGAGGGCTGCAGGTCGGCAGCAAACGGCGCGGGGACGCGGCGGCCCAGCGGCCGCCATGCAGCGGCTGCGCTACTTGCGCAGCCCCCGATGCCCTGCGCGGCATCGCCGGCAGCCCCTGGCGTAGCAGCGTTCATGAATACCGGTGCTGCACTGCGGCGGCGGCACGGCGCAACCAAACCTCCTCCCTCCACCGCCCACCCCGGCCCTGGCACCGCCCCCCTCCTCGGCTGTGATTGGCAGGACGGGTGGAGCGGTCGGCGGCGATTGGCGGGTGGCGGCGGGAGGTGGGGTAGGTTGCGTGAAGGGTGATAAAGTTAGTGGGGCTGCCGGGGAGCGCCCGAGACGCGGCGGCGGCGGTCGGCGCTCTATGGAGGTGGCGGGGGGAGGCGTCGGGTCGGTGCTGCTGCTGCTGTGGTGACTCGGAGACTCGCCCTGTCCCGCGCGCTCCCCCCTTCCCCTCCCCAGCCCCGGTCCCCGGCTCCCTTCCCCTCCCCCCCCTTCTCTTGCCTTTTCCCCTGCCCTTGGTAGCCGCCGGGACCCGGGGAAGCTGACAAGGCCTTAGGGAAGGTGAGAAATGCGGGAGTGGCGGGAGAAGCGCGGATCTGGGGCCGGGAGTGAGCGGGTACTGCTGCAGCTGCAGCCTAAAATGGCGGCTGCCCGGAGTGGCCGCCATTTTCTTGTCAGTTGCTTGTCTGTTTCTCCCGCACAAAATGGCGGCCTGGGCCGGCGGTCGCTCCCGCTGCCGGCTGTGCGAGCCCTGCCGCCGCTGAGCGAAGGGGTGGAGGAGCTCGGCAGCCCCCGCTGGGCGCGGAGGGGAGGCTGAGCGGCAGCGTTTCAGGTTAGAGCGGGGGAGACGGGATCGGGCAGTGCCTGTCCGTATGGGCCTTGCCTTTAGTGGGCTCGGCTCGGCTGTAGGATAGTAGTCTTGCCGCGGTCTGCGGGCGCCCGCGCTGCCCCCCAATTTCCCTTGGAGGGAGAAGCCGTGGCACACATAGCGGGCTGCGGATCCGCATTGCTGGTGGGAAGGTGACGAGAGGACTTCCTAATTTTTTTTTTTTTTTTACTATTGTTCATTGGCTTTTGGCGGGGGGGCGGCGGTGCCGCGCGGCGCCTGCGGGGGGCGCCCTCCGCGGCCCAGCCTTTTGTTCGCCGCCGCCGCCATGTTGTCCCCGCTCCGCGTGCCCGCGGCGGGCCCTGGCCGCGCTCGGCTCCGGGAGGGCTCCGGACTTCCTAATTTTTTTTTTTTTTTTACTATTGTTCATTGGCTTTTCTTCACGCGAGTGGAGGAGAGCGGGCTGCCGAAGCGCCGCGTCAGCCGCCTCGCCCATGTTTCCTGTCTGGAGGCTCGGGCGCCGCGGTGCGATACCGCCTGCTTCCCCCTCGTGTCTCCCGGGGCGGCCGCCGTGGTGCGGGGGAGCGGGTCCCGCCCGGCGCCCTGGCGGAGAACAAAGAGCCGGGCGGGCGCGGGCAGCGGGCGGCGCCCTGGCCGCGCTCGGCTCCGGGGGGGCTCCGGGAGGGCTCCGAGCGCATCCGGGACACTCGCAGCCTTCCCTCCCTGCCCGGGCGTTTCTGGCCCCCTGCTCGCCGCTCTGCTACGTGAGCCGTGCAGTGAGGTTCTTAATGCAGGCTGAAAGTTGAGGTGGTGGGTGGACGATACCTTATTTCGTTATTTGGTGCTTTAGTACGCCGTTTGGACGCAGAACACACGCCTTTTACCGCTTTAAGCGTGCGTTTTGTTTGATGCTTTTCACTTCAGAATTTGGCTGCTTTGTCGCGCCGTTATAAATCATAGTTTCTAAATCACGTCAGTAAAACACTCATTTGCTGTTCAAAAGAAAAAAGTGCTTGCGTTCTTTCCTGCGGGTACTCTTGGCTTTTGGATAGACTTAAGGGTTTTGCTCAGTCCGTGATTCCCTTGTCTCTTTGCCCTCGCCCCGCTGGAAAACATGGCTGTAGTGATGAAATCGGCATTTCTGTGACTGTCCCAAGTATTGCACGAATGAAAGTTTTCTTAATTTTTGTAAAGTTCGGTGTTGGAGGGTTCTCATTGTCGAACAAACATTTGTACTTTTTAAAGACGCTATGGCTGATAGTAAACAAGTATAATATGAATGCTTGGTTTGTCTTTCTAGGTTTTGTTTTTCCCTACCCCGTCAATTTAATTTTATTCTTTTGAAGATTCTTCGTTGTCAAGCCGCCAAAGTGGAGAGTGCGATTGCAGAAGGGGGTGCTTCTCGTTTCAGGTACCCTTTGTTTGTTTGATGAGTAGTTAGCAATGGAAAATCTCCTTGGAGGGCATCTTAAATTAGTGTAATGTTTATACCAAAACGGAGATGTTTGGACTTACCCAGGATTCCGTGGTTGTTTTTAACAGTGCTTCTTCAGGCGGAGGAGGTGGTAGGGGTGCACCTCAGCACTATCCCAAGACTGCCAGCAACAGGTATGTCACCTTGCTCTTTGATTTGCATGATTTCAAAGTCAGAGCCTGCCTGATAGCGAATATAGAACTGAAAATAGGCTAGCTTTAAAGTTGTACCAGCAATACCTACTGGGTTAAAGACGTTTAAATGTTTTCCAGTCTGTGCCCTTTAAGGTGTACCCCATGGTTGATAGGCAGTGTATGAGGTTGTTCATCAATTTAACTTTAGAAGTGCGGAGAGTATTTTTGGGTGCCAGGCGTTGTTGTTGAGTACTTTCCTCTGCAGCAGATGTTGCAGCGTTGGTAGGGGTAATTGTGTGCTCTTCAGAAAGCAAGTAACGGAATTGGTTTGAGTAAGGCATGGCTGAAAGGTTAAAAGGGCAGTTCTTTAAATCTACTTGTTTCTGTTTTAATAACCGTATTCTTCAAAATTTTGCAGCGAGTTCCTGGGGAAAACCCCAGGGCAAAACGCTCAGAAATGGATTCCTTCACGAAGCACTAGACGAGATGACGACTCCGCAAACGACAAAGAACGACATGATGCAATCTTCAGGAAAGTAAGAGGGTAAGTTCCTCACAAAATTACTTCTTTCCTTACTGTTTTCATTAGTGGTGTGTATCTGAGTAATGGAGGAAGGGAAGATGAGGGCCTTGAGTTTAAATGCTGAAAGTAATTCTTGTAAACAGATTAGTGTTTTCAATGGTACTTCACAGTCTGAAGATCTCAGAAAACACCAGTTGAATGGAAAATTGCACTTTTCAATTTTTGATAGACGTCAAACAGAAAAAATAAGCTGAGTCTAAAGTGTCTCTTAGCATGCTTACAGTATTTGTGTATTCTGATTCTGGTTTTTGTTCTTCTTTAGCATACTAAATAAGCTTACTCCTGAAAAGTTTGACAAGCTATGCCTTGAGCTCCTCAATGTGGGTGTAGAATCTAAGCTCATCCTAAAAGGGGTCATACTGCTGGTAAGTTGGTTGCATTTCTTTTCACTACAGTTTTCTTGCATGCTGAAAATCATGGGGTTGTTTGTTTTGGTGGGATACAGAAGTAGCATGAAAAATGCTTTTGTGTATCTGGATTATCAAACACCATGTCCCACCCCTGCTTTCTGTGTAAAAATGGGTCTTCTGGGGAGGAAGTAGGTTTAATGGTTTGAGTTTCTCATTTAGAAGTCTACATAATGACTAAACGTGATTTTGGAGTTCTGTGATTTTTTTTTTTTTTTTAAGTACTCTTTATGGTGCAAGTTAGCCATCTTACTTGCTTGCCCTCCCCTTCTTCCTCTTTTCCTGAGGAGCAAGCCTCTTGGTTTTGGAAAGGCTGCCATTGGTGACCTCTGGGGACACGGGTGCAACTGTTAGATCCCTTTCTTTAAACGAGATCAGATGGGTGATACTAACGTTGGTGTTGGCATAGCAAACTTGAGTTGTAGTGGCCAAGGATTACAGAGCCTTTTCAGTAGCAAGCAATGGCTTTTGTCCTTTGCTTCAGCTTTAAGATGGTGTTGGGCTGCACTGTTCCTTTGTTTGATTAAACAGAATACAGGATGTTCTAGATGAGAGTGGCAATAATCCATTCTGTGTTTTGTAACTCACTTTGCTAATAACATTTGCACCCTCCTGCTGCTTGCTGCCTTACTCAACCTGACTCTCTCTAGATCGTAGACAAAGCCCTTGAAGAGCCCAAGTATAGCTCGCTGTACGCTCAACTATGTCTGCGACTGGCAGAAGATGCACCCAACTTTGATGGCCCATCAGCAGAGAGTCATCCAGGACAGAAGCAAAGCACAGTGAGTGCATCTCTCAATCTGGAATGGTAACTTTTGCATGCATTTGTAGCTGCCCTGATTAGCTTAATTGTTTGCTTTGTTCTCTTTTTGTAGACATTCAGACGCCTCCTAATATCTAAACTTCAAGATGAATTTGAAAACCGAACCAGAAATGTTGATAGTAAGTTTTAAAACCGCTTTAATACAGAATCTATTTGTCATCTTTTCCCACAGCCATGTAAAACAGGCTTCTTTGTTTTCCAGTCTATGATAAGCATGATGGTCCCCTCCTCCCTGAGGAGGAGGAACAGAGAGCCATTGCCAAGATCAAGATGCTGGGGAACATCAAATTCATTGGAGAACTTGGCAAGCTTGATCTTATTCATGAATCTATCCTTCATAAGTGCATCAAAACAGTGAGTATTCAGATTGGGAGGAAGCTAGGAGCTAAACAGAACTTGAAAACAAAAAACAAAACCAAAAAAACAAAACCAAAAAACCCACCAAAAACCCCATGTAAATGTTGATGCTGCTTTGAGAGTCTTGGAGCAGGAGCATAAAATGACACCAAAATGTTTCCTGATTACCTATCCCCTACTGTTACCTTTTGGCATGATTTAAAAGCAAGATCAGCTTTGTTCAGAGCCATAGGAATTGTCTCCAAGGGAGAATGTAGTTTTGTCCAGACATAAGTGTGCCGTAGGTGCTTCAAAGTACACACACTTAAGAATTGGCAGTTCTTAATTTTAACATTTTAAGTCCATTTGCCTTCAGAACAAAACAATGCTTTCATATGTGTCAGTGTACAAAGTTTGTTGCTTATTATGAAATGTCATTTATAAAATTTTTAAATCTTAAATTTCCCCTTTAATTTTTCAGCTTTTGGAAAAGAAGAAGAGAGTTCAACTCAAAGATATGGGGGAGGATTTGGAGTGCCTCTGTCAGATAATGAGGACAGTGGGACCTAGATTAGATCATGCGAAAGCCAAGGTATGTGCCTATCTAGTGCAGTCATTAACCTAATTAAATTATGTGCCTAAGACTTGTGATTGCCTGAACCGTCTGTATTTAGTATTCATAAGTACAAAACAGAGATTTGATTTTTTTTTTTCAGAGAAGAGTGCCAGCTATGGTTTCTAGACCAAATCTCTTGATAGAAAAAGCCAATCTCTGAAATAGTTTTAAACATCTAACCAGAGGGTAGTTAGGGTCATCAGGAAATCACATAAGTGAGACTATTGTTTTTCTAAACACTGCTTGAAAAAATGTGCTGAGGCGCTATTCTTAGCACAGCTAGGTGATTGGAGAGATGGCAGTTTATAATGTAAGCTTAAAATGAACAGAATTTTGGCTGTGTTGCTTATCTCTGATTCAGATGTCTTGATGCATTAGGTCTTTAAACTCTGTCATGAAGGAGCTAGAGATAGCAGGAAAGGGCAGCTTGTTGCATTATTTTGTCCTGAATGGCTTGAGTGATAACACTCAAGGCACTGATAGAATTACCCTAACTTTTAACTTTTGTTCCCCTAGTCCTTAATGGATCAGTACTTTGCCCGTATGCGCTCCTTGATGTCAAGTAAGGAATTGCCAGCAAGGATTCGTTTCCTGCTGCAGGTATGATGATTAAATGTCTCCCTGCTGTTTTTTTTTCTTGCAAAGGGTCTTGAATCCTTTCCTAATATCCTGTTCTGTTCCAAGGATACTGTGGAGTTGAGAGAACACAACTGGGTTCCTCGCAAAGCTTTTCTTGACAATGGACCAAAGACTATCAATCAAATCCGTCAAGATGCAGTAAAAGTGAGTGTTGCGTGTAAGGTCCAGGGCCTGCCTTGGTGCTGTGCACTTGGAGTAGTTCTCACAGTGTCACAGTTGGCTTAAGGGTTAAAACCAGATGGACTTCTGTAGTTGGGGGCTAAGAACTTTGCTTTCTTGGAGCTGGTACTTGAAACTGACCAAAATTGTAATTCCTGTTTTAAAGGATCTGGGAGTTTTTATTCCTGCTCCTATGTCTCAAGGGATGCGAAGCGACTTCTTTCTGGAGGGACCCTTCATGCCACCCAGGATGAAACTTGACAGGGACCCACTCGGAGGGCTTGCTGATATGTTTGGACAAATGCCAGGTATGCTGACGCCACAGGGGTGGTAGGGTGGCTGTGCCTCTGCCCTGCTGAATAAGAGCTAAAACTATCATTTGTCTCCTCGCTGATCCAGGTAGCGGAATTGGTACTGGTCCAGGGGTTATTCAGGATAGATTCTCACCCACCATGGGACGCCATCGTTCAAACCAACTCTTCAATGGCCATGGGGGTCACCTCATGCCTTCTGCTCAATCCCAGTTTGGAGACCTAGGCAAATCTTTTCTGAAAAGTCAGGTAAGGAAGCTGTTTGCATGGTGACTTCAGCTTGTTTAGAAGCACTTCCTGAGATGCGTATGTTATGGATTAAAGTCTGCTTATGTTGAAAGACCTATTCAGATTTGATTCTCATAACTGATGCTCAGCTGATACAAAAATTCTAAACCACTTTTTAAATAGTACAAAAGATGCAAGAAGTACACTTTTTTTTTAACTGCAAGAAAAGGTGCATGTGGCTTTGGTGGGTCAGAACGGTGTGTTTCATTTAAAAGATGGCCCTGTTTTTAGGGATAGATGCTACTCTCCCACCACCCCTGCTCCTTCTTTCTCCCTTCCTGGCGAATAGGATCTTTGTTCCTCTGGTCCCTCTGGTACTACTTACCAAATGATGTACGCCACTCCATCATCTGCACTTCTTTCTCTATATCTCCCTTTCTGAAATAGGGGCAAAGCCAACTCTACCATACCCAGAATCAGGGACTCTTATCCCAGCAACAAGGACAGTCGAAGGATATGCCACCTCGGTTTTCTAAGAAAGGACAGCTTAATGCAGATGAGGTACATGACATGCCTACATTATTTACAGCCTATTCTAATATTGCCCAATGATTATAGCAAGACGCGTTATTATGAGGACTAATGCTGGAACTCTTTCTCCTCCTCCTCCTCATTCTCCTCCTTCTTTGTCCCTTCCTCTTTCACCTTTTACCCCCCTCACTTTCCTTAGGGTATCCAGCGTCCTATGAGCAAGACTGAGATATGAGGGCAATTTTTTGGGGTGTCCTTTCCTTCCCACACACTTCCAAGAACACTACTCTGACATCAGTTCCCATGCATCCTATTGATAACAAAACATTTCATTAAAACTTCAGAAAATCCTGAACTTTAGAAACCCTGAAGTGCTGGACCAGGTTAATTTTTTTTTGTTTTCTTTTGTTTAGAACTGGCTAATAGGCAAAATTTCAAATGCAGAGTAAACTGCATTGTGATTTTGAGTGTTAACCAGACTTGTATCCCGATTTCTGAGCAATTTGGTAGTTTCATTTTGGCTGTAAAATACATCAGCAAGCATGCTGATTATCTTCTTGGGTCTCTAACATACTGCATCTAAAAGGAGCATTTCCAGGTTTTTATACTAGTTGAACTAAATGTCAGTAGCTTGATTTTGGGGGAGTTTCAGACCACATGGCTTAATCCGTATTTCAGTATTAATATTGTAGAAATGGAGTCGTGCTTCAGTGAGATCAGTTGAATTGGGTCCATGGCTGTGTATTGTTGGTCTGAATATTTGAAACAGTTTGAGTTTTTCTTTGGCTTGCTGTTTACAGATTAGCCTGAGACCTGCTCAGTCTTTCCTGATGAATAAAAACCAAGTGCCAAAGCTTCAGCCCCAGATAACTATGATTCCTCCCAGTGCTCAACCACCACGCACTCAGACACCGCCTTTGGGACAGGTAAATATAAAAAATTCCTGTATGTTGTTGGCTATACTTTCCTGTTTGTGCTTGGAAAACTTAATTTCAAATGTGTCAAGGGAGAAAGATGTCTTTGATTGTACAGAGCAGGACATGGGAAAAGAATGTTTGAAACCAAACTAATTTTAGTTCGGTCTGCCTTTTTTATGTTTTCTATTGTAAAACTTTATAAAGGCAAAAGTAGATGTGCTACAAAGGAACAAATTCTGGTCTCTTTTTCAGCCGCCTCAACTTGGTCTTAAAACAAATCCACCACTTATACAAGAGAAGCCTGCAAAGACCACCAAGAAACCACCTCCTTCTAAGGAAGAGCTACTTAAACAAACTGTAAGTTGGTGTGCAGTAGTGAGTCTTACAGCTTTGGATGTGATCTTGGAAAAGGATGCTTAACTGTGCTTCTTTCCTCTCCAGGAGGCTGTTGTGACTGAGTATCTGAACAATGGAAATGCTAATGATGCTGTCAATACTGTAAGAGAAATGAGAGCTCCGAAACACTTCATTCCTGAGATGCTGAGCAAAGTAATCCTTCAATCCCTAGACAGATCAGATGAGGACAAAGAGAAAGCAAGTACTTTGATCAGCTTGCTCAAGCAGGAGGGAATAGCCACCAGTGACAACTTCATGCAGGTATTGTGGTCTGATAATCTTGCAGTTCTTGTTTCTTGGCTCTTCATAGTGTTTAGCTGCTGTAAAGGCAGCATGCAAATATTTCTTTAGTCCTGCTAATCTGAGGAGGTAAAAATAGTCCATCAACCTGTGAGGGGCACAAGTGCAAGGAAGACATGCAGTGTTTAGGCAGTTGGAACCTGGGATCCTCTTTGCAAGTGACTACAGAAAACCTACTATGAGCATTATGTTGCACAGGAACAGAATTACTTAGGAATTTGATCTTGTGTGTTTACTGTTTCTTAGGCATTCCTGAATGTATTGGACCAGTGCCCCAAACTGGAGGTGGACATCCCATTGGTGAAATCCTACTTAGCACAGTTTGCAGCCCGTGCCATTATTTCAGACCTGGTGAGCATTTCCGAACTGGCTCAACCACTGGAAAGTGGCACCCATTTCCCTCTCTTCCTGCTCTGTCTTCAGCAGTTAGCTAAGTTACAAGACCGTGAATGGCTAACAGAATTGTTCCAACAAAGCAAAGTGAATATGCAGAAAATGTTACCAGGTAAGATTTGCCACAGAGCTCTTCTGTTACCTGATCCTAGAGTAAGCGAGATGTTCTTCCAGTTTATGCCAGAGGAAAACAACATGCAGGGTTCTCTTGGTGGAATTAGCTGTCAGTATTGTTAGGAATGATGTTTCTTAAGGGGTGGCTGGAGCATGAACCATTATTTAGAGCTCTTGAGAAGCACTTAACACGTGTCTTTTATTTCCTTGTCAGAAATTGACCAGAACAAGGATCGCATGCTGGAGATCTTGGAAGGGAAGGGGCTTAGCTTCTTGTTCCCGCTTCTGAAACTGGAGAAGGAACTGCTAAAGCAAATAAAATCGGATCCATCCCCTCAAGCCATCTATAAGTGGATTAAAGATAACATTTCACCCAAGCTTCATGTAGATAAGGGATTTGTGAATATATTGATGACCAGGTAGGATGCTGTTTTGATAGGTTTCAGGTACTTGTTTGGTTAAACTACCAGTAAGGTACTTAACTCTGTAAAGGCTCAAATGTAGCTCTGCGGAAATCCGAGATGCAGTACAGGGGGAGACAGATTGTTCTGAGTGAACCCTCTCTAGTAAAATCCCATTGTATTTGAGAAGAAAAGTCTCCAGGCCTACATCAGTGTGTGAAGCGTTTTCTTTGGGAGGAGGAGGTCGAGATCCATGTGTCTTTCTAAAATGCAGAGCTGTAACAAAGGCAGAACAAGGATTTTGCTGGTGCACTGTCAACCACAGTGCAAATCTCTGTGCTTGCTCCTTACTGCAAGTGAAAGCAGGACGATAGGTGCAGTGATAGCTGTCTTTAACTTGATACATCAAGTGCTTTGATTTTACTTTACAGAACTTAGTTTGGCTTTTCTTCTGTCCAGTTTCTTGCAGTATATTTCTAGTGAAGTAAACCCACCCAGTGACGAATCGGATTCTTCATCTGCTCCATCTAAAGAGCAGCTCGAGCAGGAAAAACAGCTGCTTCTTTCCTTCAAGCCGGTGATGCAGAAGTTCCTCCATGACCATGTTGATCTGCAAGTGAGTGCTTTGTATGCACTCCAGGTGCACTGCTACAACAATAATTTTCCAAAAGGTAAGTGCATTGAGGTCTCACCTGAATTGGCTTGTCCCTACATTTCTTAAAATTCGGCAAGGGGTTGAGATGGTTATAAAGCTAACCAAGTTTAAATTGATTTTCATAGGCATGTTACTGCGCTTCTTTGTTCATTTCTATGACATGGAGATCATTGAAGAAGAAGCCTTCTTGGCATGGAAAGAAGACATTACTCAAGAGTTTCCAGGGAAAGGCAAAGCTTTATTCCAGGTAAATCTGCTAACGTTAGAATAGAGACTTGTTTTTTGTTATTTCTGCTGCACTGGAGTGTTTGAGAACTTCTGAAGCGTCTGAAACGTGTAAATATCTAGAAACTTCATGGAATATTTCACTAGGAAGGAGTTAAAAGGAAGATTACTTAAATCCCTCCTATTTTCCAGAGGCCTATGTGTAGTGCAAATGAGGCTGAAATGAAAGGTTTTTTAAAATGAGTTGGGGGGGGAAGATGAGTGTTCTGTGGAAGCACCTAATGGGGAAACAATTCCTGCTCCCTTAAACCAGTTTTGTGTAACTGCAGGTAAACCAGTGGTTAACCTGGCTGGAAACTGCTGAAGAAGAAGAATCTGAAGAAGAAGCTGACTAAAGAACCAGCCAAAGCCTTAAATTGTGCAAACATACTGTTGCTATGATGTAACTGCATTTGACCTAACCACTGCGAAAATTCATTCCGCTGTAATGTTTCACAATATTTAAAGCAGAAGTATGTCAGTAGGATATTCTCTGCAAAAGGTTTTTGTAGTATGTCTTAATAGTCTACAATAAAAATATTTTAGAGTATCTTCAATGTTTAGATAACAGTGTATTAGCAGCATGCAATAATTACATCATAAGTTCTCGAGCAGAAGCAGTCTGTTGCAAGGGTCTTCTTTGCTGCCAGTTATCATAGGCTGTTTTTAAGTTAGAAACTGAATAGCAACACTGAATACTGTAGAAATGCACTTTGCTCAGTGTAATACTTGAGTTGTTGCAATATTTGATTATCCATTTGGTTGTTACAGAGAATCCTTAACTGTAATCGATGGTTGTTGCCGTAATAGTATATTTGCCTGTATTTCTACCTCTAGTAATGGGCTTTATGTGCTAGGTTTTAATATCCTTGAGCCTGGGCAAGTGCACAAGTCTTTTTTAAAAGGAACAGTTTACTTGCACAAAAACTGATCGGCTGAAGAGATGGTTTAATGCCCTTTGGAAGAGGTTTTTGTGGGTGTGAAACATGACATGGTGAGAAATTTGAATTGGTCCCTCTTACAGTACTGAAATTAAGTCTATTAATTTATCAAGACATGTTCATGCCCTGATTTTATATACTTGTATCTATCAATAAACATTGTGATACTTGACTTGTTTCTGAATGTCTCCCAGTAGAAAAGCTTTGGTTGATGACTTGTTCACTTAAGAAAGGAAGTATCAGTGGGAGTTACCTTAGGTTGCAACCATCCTGAAATTACTTTTACACTCCTTGTCTGGATATGCAGATGAATTCTAAATAAGGTCACAGACAAGATGAGACACTACAGTTGTGTTGTGACAGAAGGAGAATGATGGGATTCTGTTGAAGAAATGGTAGGGGTTTGCCTTGTGGTCCAATGTATGCTTTATCAGTGAGTATGTGCTTTTGACTTGGTTAATGCTTTGAGCTTCCCCCCAGGCCACATGCATGTTTCTGAATCAAGTGGCACTGTCTATTAGCTGCCTGTTTCTCGAATTGAATTGGCAAAAAAAACCCCTACAAAAGAGGTGAATGATGTTGCATTGTACAGGCTTGAAATGTCATCTATTAAATACTCAAAACACCTTACTTCCTAGAACCTTGTCCCCAGTGAGTTTTTTTTTGTCCTTATTGATACTCAAGACTTAACCTGTTGAAAAGTGATGTATTTGTAGTGACAAAAGGGTAGTGGCTCCTGCCTGGACTGGAGCTTTGTTTGCCAGTGGTGTGAGTGCTGTAGCCTGTAAACTGCTAAGCATCACAGGAGGTGAGGAAGTGGAGCCCAAGAAAAGGACTAGAGCTGTTAATTAGTCTTGCTTTGAGGAAGGGGGGGGGAGTTGGAATTGGCAGTGGAGTACCTTGTAACACTACAGCTGGAAAAGCACATCATGGTTTGCTTTGAAGGGTTCCCTGATGCCAGTCACAGCTCTGCCCTCCTGAGTGTGAGCTGTGCTCTGTCAGGGAGTTCTGCTACTGCCTTGGGAGCTTCTGTGTAGTGTGGAGCCCAGGAAAGCCAGGGACTGTGCTCTACCAGCCAAATGCTATCAAGGGTATTGAACTTGAATTGCTGGCAGAATTCCATAGCACCATCCCTCATTTCAGAAATGGGGTGTATTCAGCAGTTTAAGGGAGAGCAGGGGGTACTGGTGTGGATGGGGTCCAGTTAAGGTAGGAATGCTTCAAATGCAGTTCAGTGGCTTGAGGTTGAGAGCTGGCTGTGTGTGATGGAGCTGCACCTCCTGGGTGCACTGACACGGGGCTTCCCAGAACACTTAATGCTATCTATGTTACTTTGAAACTCATGACTCTTCCCTATCTATGGAGTGACTTGGTCACTGCTAGAACTGGAGGGGTGCAGACTTCCCTCCTCACTCCATGTGCAGGCTCAGGTGCATGTGTGCTATAGACACTAAGGTTCTGCAGTTCAGTACTCATTTAACAGGTTGGACAAATACAAGTACAGTTATGGGGTTCATTTAATCCTAATTAATTCAAAATTCTGTTCCAAAATTGCATTTTTAAGTGTAACAAGATGCTGTGAAGTGAAATTTACCGTTGTTTCACTAACAGTGTTGTATTTTTCCAAGTTTGTCCTTTTCTCTTTGAACTTTGCTGTTACTGCTGGTTGGTTTGGTGGGGTATGGTGCTATAATACTTCCTGTGGATATGGTAATCTGTGTGTGGAGCATGTGATGCACTTTGCTCCTGTGCACTGCAGAAGGAAGATGGGGAGGAACCACAAGGCAGGAAAGAGTGGTTTCCACCTCAAGTTATATCAGAGGTGAGAAGAGAAGGTAGAAGGATGTGCAAGTAAAAACTTGGGAATAGATCCCAAATCTGCAGCTAAGCTTTTCTGCCGCATTTTGAAGAAGGCTGAGCTGGCAGCTGTGGGCTCCTTAACACAGTAACTAATACAAGCCTTGTGTTCTTGCCCAGTCTGACGTGTCCTTACTCTACAGCCTTATGTACCTGTGCATGGGGGCTTTGCTGCTTGGCTTATTTCTAACTGACCACTCAGTTAGGAACTCTGGTAGAGAAAACTATAGAAAGAACAACTGAAAATGCAGAATAGAACATAAACAGTAGAAAATGCCACAAAAAGGTGGAATTACCTTCACATGACTTGGAAAAATCCTCATGCACTGTGAACAGTTGTGGATTCTTCAAACTGGTGTAAAAATGGTGCTTACTGCAGTGTGCACATCAAAGTGGTCTCTCCATAGATGAGGAGAGGTGGTAGCATCTTCATGATCTTTACTGCTGCTGAAGTTTTTAAGTGCTCAAGTGCAAAACTTGTGGCTAATCTGGAACAGGGATGGCTGTTGGTTGGTCTCACTTCTGTGTTCCTGTTGACTATGAGTGGCATTGTACTTAAAATGTAAACAGAGTGCTTAATTCTGCATAGTAAAGTCACAGTCAAAATTAAACCACTGTAACTGATAAATCTTAATGGCTTTTATTAATATTTTTGTTAAGGGTTGGGTATAATTTTACTGCCAGGAGCTTTGGGAGAAACTGCATATCACACATATTTCCTACCAGTTAATAGCAGCTCGGGCGATCCTCTGAAATTCTGAATTAGGTTGCAGTTCCTGTTCAGGAACCCTCACCCTGTCAGGTGTGGGTCAGATTTTGAGAAGGACCTGTCATGGTGAATTCTCACCTGCTCCTAGAGAGTGTCACAGTTGGACAGCTGCTGCCTAGTCACTGATCATAGCAGTAGGTCACCATCTGTCCAAGCTGCAGTGGTGTTTAGGTACGAAATCTGAGAATTCCAGGAATGTGTTCTGATCATTGAATCCTGAAAAATCATCTAGTTCCATCTCTGTGATGTGCAGGGACACCTCCCAAAGAGACCATCTTGCTCAAAGTTTCATTAAGCCTGGCCTTGAACAGTTCCAGGTATAGGGCAGCCACAGGGTTTTGGACAGCCTGTTCAGTGTCCACGAGCTTCATAGTAAAGAATGTCTTCCTTTTACCTCACCTCAACTCTGAAGCCATTCCCCCTCATCCTGTCAATACTTGCCTTCGTCAGAAGTCTCTCTCCAGCTCTCTTGTATTAGAACCTTTCACAGGCTCAACAACACCAACTTCATCCTCTGCCCCTGGGAGGGGTGCTCCAAATCACCTGATCAGGTCCTAAAAGTCAAAACACCTTCATGACTCCTATGCAGTTCTGTTTCTTGGGGAACAGTGCAGGAAGAAGCCTTATGGTGTATGGGAAAAGGTAGAGGCTGGGTGGGCCCAGAACAAAATTTTTTTAAGAGTGGTTTATCTGGCCTGCTCTTTTAGCAGATGGAAGCTTCCCTCTGAATGCTGTTTGGACTTGGAGTGCTTTTCCCCTTTTTCCCCAGAGCAGTGTGTAAATCCAAACAATTTGATCATTTCAGTGCACTCCTGAACTGTACAAATTTAGAACACATCTGAACCATGAATTATCACGGCTTATGTTGCAACCCAGGCAAGCAGCTGCAAAGACTGATTAAAAAGGAGTCTCTTGCTAATTCATGCTTATTCTCAAAAGTGAATTCCCAGGGAGCTGGTACAGCAGCATGAAGGGTGATGGGCTTGTGCTCACAGGTACCTGAGAAACTCCTATTTATCAACTGTGGTTGCTGCAGTGTTTGCTTCAAATGCTGCTCAGCTCCAGCCTTGTCCTGATGTGGGGTGTGTGCAGGGGCTTGGGCACCACTGATGTCACAAGGATTCCCCTAAATTTGGGAGGAGGTCCATACTTGGAAGCTGATAAATAGCCATGGTGCATCTCCTGCATCAAATGACTTGAATGAATATGAGAAGGGACAAGAGTGTGTCTAGTGGCAGAATGGGTCAAAGTGTCACACAAAGGTGAGGCTTTTTCCCTTACCTCACATAAATCTCCTGTAAACTGATCACCCATCCTCTTTTATCTCCAGTGCTGTTGGCCAGAGAACCAGAGTACACAGCAAGTGCTCTTGCCCAGCAGGCAGGGACGGGCTCAGTTCAGGGGGCAAGATCCTGTAGGCACAGCTCTAGCATGGGACAATTGTATCTCCACACATTGGCATCTGGGAAAGCAAAACAGAAACAGCAGCTGGGCTGGGAGCTGTGCTCTGTGACAGGAAAGGGAAAAGCTGCACAGCTACACTTGCAGGCATCAGGGTGTAACAGTAATTTAAAGGAGACTGTATCAACATAGCTTCGAGGGTTTTTTATGCCAGGGTGGTTCTACACATAACACTAGATATACCCCAAAAAAGTTTGTCAGTCCTTCAGAAGTAGCTGTATTTGTAATTCACCAAGATACAAGCTGGTAACAGTATCTCCCTGGATCCACCCCTATCCTGGCATTTCAGAAGCTTCACTTCTGAAAGACCAAGAATTCTCTCAAACAGGTTCGGGCCTTTCCCTCTGATGATCAGGGACTAAGATTCTTCAGGCAGGAGCTCCTTGAATAATGTGCCTTTTAAGTGGTGCTGTAAAGGCACACAGGCTTGTCTGGGTTTGATTTAGGGAGCCCACATCCCTTTCCTTTAAGGGAGGGGAGTTGGAGAGGAGTGAACTGTTATTTTTAATGAGTTGACGAAGCAGCCATGGCAACAGTTACACTTGGCATGGATACATGGCTGGAGCGAGGAAAGCAGCCAGCTGAGGGGAGTTTTATCTTCAAATATTTTGCAGTTTAGAACAACATCAGTCTTGCATTTAGTTTTTGTTTATGTTAGCAGTAGAAGTGCTTGAAGGATCTGAGGTGTGAAGTATTCCCAGAATTTTATTATCTAAGAAGCTGTGTAAAACCATTTAACTTTGTGAAAAGAAAAGGGATCTTTTATTGGTTTCATAGTATGAAGGAGTTTAGAGTTTGTTCTCTTAGAAAATGGATGCGTCTCTTTTTGGTAGGACAAAGTGAAATTTGAGAAGTGGAAGTACATAGAGTTAAAACTGAAAGGCAGGTGAAGGCTTGATCTGCCTTTCTTTAGGGATTTTGTTTAACCCTTTAAGAAATGATTGCATGTGCTTTGAGATGTCAGAGACAGCTGCCTCCACAGCAGAGTAACAAACAAGGCTCCAGGCACATGCAGCAGGCCAGCTTTGTGTTCCTGCCCAGAGGCATAAAGCAGGGGAAGAATTAAAGCCTTGGGTTTTTCTATTTGTACTGATATACACTCATACATATTATGTATATCCCCATTTATCTTTATTCCTTTTATTCCTCTTGGAGAAATGCCATTCAGTTACTTGATTATTTTAAGCTTAGGTTGTTAATATTTCTGAGTAACAGTAGAAGCATTAGTCCTAATCCCTCTTCCCAATATTGACAATAAAACAGGAACTGGCCTGGGCTTCAGCTGCCATGTTAACCTTAAACAGCCCCGTGAGCCGAGCTCAGAAAGGCAGGGCTCACTCAGTTCCATACAAAGAACATTTTTAAAGTCAAGAGAGCCCCAGCCAGGCTGTGGGGAAGAGGCCCAGCATGACACAGCCATGAGAGGCAGGGTAGGTGCACTGCACTGCTTTTAGGCTGTACATAACTGATTACTCACTTCATCAACACAGCAGTTTCATTTCCTGCTCCAGTGAAGGTTTCCATGGTGACCTCCAATTTCCCACAGTTTC